ATCAACCAATGAAATTGCTCACCTTTGTTCATTTTTATATGTTCGTTTCATATGTTCGTTTCATTTTACCCCCTCCCCCTCGAGAGTCCTGGCAAAGTGATGTTAACCGAAGAATCAATTTCAAACGGCCTAAGAGACTAACCTAAAAATTGCATCAATTATCAACACCTGCTCAAAAATGGTTTACCAGAAATATGACGTTCATTTTATATATATACATGCATACTCTTGACAGATAAATTAACAGTTGAATCTCCCAAAACTGATACATATATAGTGGACAGGTTTTGTATCAGCTTTGAATATTATAAACTATATATTCAAAGTTAGGCATTTGAATTATGTACAATATAGATTTTATTAGGACATGGACAAGTATTGATGTCGTGACTGAAGTTGGCATCCGACTAAAGTTGGAGCTTCAAGTTGGCACCTGCTAAAACAGCTAACTAATGCGTGCAGGATGATCTAATTTTAGGGGTTAATTTCAGTCAGGTGCAACTTCAGTCAACTGAAGTTCCACCTTTAGTCGGATGCCAACTTCAGTCACGACATTGACATGGATTATCTAAATAGTGTCCATGTCTATATTTTGTATATTAATTAATGTTTAAGAAATTTTCAAAAAGTATTCTGGTGCAGTGACATGCAATTTCCGGATTGCGCAATATACTGCATGGAATAAAGGTGATCACTTTGCTTCGAAATGTTGCACGTATTTTATATTCAATGATTTCTATTCGAAATATTTCGGAATAGCAGACATTCGATTTTTATTTGGACTAAGTGTCTGAACAATATGGGCATAATTCATAGTGTCTATGTCCATTGGTCCATAAAGGTACATATTCATACTCTCCCAACACTGTATATCTTACTGTATTGGATTCATATAGTAGAAACAGACTTGGTAGTTTAATTCTTATCGAACTGAGCAGGTTATCGATTTTGACGATTGGTTTTGGGAGGTTTATCAGTATATAAACATTATTTTTATATGGCTTGGAGCGAAATCAATAATAAGAATTTAAAAGGCCTCTCTCTAAACCGTAACAATGAATATACGTATAAAAGTATTGATCATCAATTTCTAAAGTTGTAGAGAACTAACATCGCAGGGGCAGATAGAACACCCTTATTTTTATGACTAATACGTAGTAACTGGTGCACACTAGGGTTAGGGCACGGCAAATTTTTGGGATATGCCTCTGGGGGCATGCCTTTGCGAAGGGCATGCCCTCTATAGATATCATATATCATCGTAATTAGCAATAGTAGGCTTTAATTCTAATTGGCCAATTTGATAATTGACCAATAATATAATAGCCCTATATCACATGATAGGGGCATGCCTTTTGGTCAAAGGGCATGCCTCTTAACCCCATTCCCCCAACCCTAGTGCACACAGATGGGTTTATTTAGGCATGTTACACAAAATATGTGTAAGGTAATTTTCCTAAAATTCACACCCCTAATACAATTGTACGTACGTACGTACGTACTTATGCGTATCAATTTGTATTAGGGGCGGATAATTGATTAAGTAAATTCATACAGAATACGTACGTACGTATGTACGCAGTCTGAAACTTATCAATGTATATTGTTAGATGTTACACGAGCTTCTCTTAATTTAGCGGTAAAGTCGTATATTTTTCGCCTATAACTACGTATTACTTTATATGTGGTTATTGTCTTCCGGATTTCATACTAAATTAATTCTGATCATACAGTAATTTTTAACAATATAATATATACGTATATGCATCCGGATACAAATATATTATGTTTTTTCTTTCATGTGAACACCCAAAATGAAATTTAACTTTTTTAACAGATTCACAAAGTGAATAAGTAATGTCTATGCCAAATGAGTTGATAAAACAGTTGTAGAATAAAATTTTGTATGTCTATTTTAATTCATGTGTTTAACATTACGTAAGTCATACATAAGAGCGCATACAAAGAACGTATTTGATTTATATCAAGTATATTAATATCAAAAGTAAAATTTCCCCAAAAACATTAAAAAAAAAACATGGTAGACAAACCTATTCGAATTAATGAAATATCTGATTGCCGACAAAGAGGAATAGTTTGCAAAGGACCTAACTTAGACCCATCTCAATTTTTTAAGCATATTTGCAATACTGTTATAAACCATCCGAACTTAACAATACAGGAAAAAAAATATCTAACAAACGATCTAATAAGAATTAGAGATACACAAAATATAATAGAAGAAACTGGAGAAAAAAGGCAATGTGAATATTGCAACAAACAAGTTATCGCAATTACTTATTGCGAAAGTTGTATTCGCAATTATTTGGAAAAGCGTTTTAACAAATGGACTACAGGAAGTGACGAACTTGATAAATTAATTCGAGAATGTCAACTTAATGTTGCATCTCCATCGCATATAATCGAATGGATTCCTTTTGAAAATTTTAAAAATATTGAATTTAAAGAAGATGGTATTTTTTCTTCAGTATATATTGCAACGTGGAAAAATGGACCATTTAAAGAATGGGATGCCGAAAAACATGAACTAAGAAGGGGTGACGATGATACTTATATTCTCAAAAGTTTAAAAAATTCAAAGACAACGGATGAATTATGGCTCAAAAACGTAGGTATTGTTTTTTTTTCATGGGAGTAAAAAATATGAAAGAGCCAAATGTATTATTTTAAAATCGATGTGGTAGAACCGATTTATTTCTTGTATGTTAATTCGACTTAACCGATTTAATCTATGGAATATAAAACCTGCTCTAACTATAGTATACTAAGTTTAAATGGATCTTGTTTTAATTGTTTGAAATATTTAGTGTTATCAATAATACATGTTTATCCATAGGTCTAGATTTCTGAAAAAAAGTGGTAAAAAGTGGTCGGATATACGGACATATTGGCATTGAATATATAGTGCGATAAGAACATTTTATCGATGAAGAGGATATTTATTCACATTATTTGAAATAGCATGCTTGAATTTAGATCACCTGAAACTGCAATTTTAAACGTCCGAAGTTGGCCTAACTAAGATTACTGATTTAGGGTGCTCTCAAGCATTTCTTTCAGTGTAATGAGCTAGCTATAGAGATCGTGCACAAGCATTACGATTAGTTGAAGAAAACCTTACGGTAATTTTGTCGAAATTCACGTTGCGAAACGCGGATATTAAATTTTAGTCAACTCTATGATAAAAAAAGATTGCGATAATGAATTCGCTTGATATAATAATTCATTTTCCACTAATTAAAAATTGAACTCAGACCTAATGATTTACATGCTTGAGTGCACCCTTAATTCGTCTAATTTCAGTCAGGCGTAACTTCAGTCTGAAATTGTTACTTAAAACATGACATATGCACATAGAATATCTCTTGGATGTCATATTAAGCACACCAAATATTCGTGCAATCGGATGCATCAAACACAACAACTTGACTAGAATCTAGCCTAGAGACACTACGGTCCAATTAACATAAAGAATGTTTACGTGCGTTCCGATATATTCTTATAAGCTGACGGAACTTTGTGGAAGAAATGTAGAATCAATACGAGTTGGGCTGTATAGTCGAATTATATGGATTTTTTGGACAATGTGACTATAGATTGGACCGATTGGCATAGGTTTAGCACCTGAAATTGTACGCAAATTCAAGGTAAATTAGTCGAGGCAGAAACATTTCTGGGTCTCGTGATTTTAGAGCGAATTAGAGTTCTGTGGACTTTTAATTATCAGAGTTTTTAAATTCTTTACCCGCGATAACAGCCTATTATTAGGCAATTTTCGGCTCACCTACAGGGTTAGAATGAGGATCGTCTTGTCACCTTACCTTAAATTTTCTGCCATTTAATTTTGTGAATTAAGAGTAAATGAGTCACTTAACTGCACTGAACATACCAACTCATACCACACTTTTTTCAGACTACCTCTTTCAAAATTTATCATATTTAAACGACATGTAAATTTGCTAACGATTAAATAATTAATTTAATGTTTAGGTCATTAAGAATCTTAACTTCGAAAAGTTTTCGCAGTCGCTCATAAAATGTTATGGATTAACTAGAAATACAAATACGCAGGATTTTATGATTGTACTTCAACATATGGATAGTAACTTGGGTGAATTCCTAAAAACAAATGAATTATCTTGGAAGACAAGATTTAAAATGGTACGAAATATTTCCAATAGTATTAGAAAAATTCATAATCAAGATGAGATACATAAAAACTTACATTCAAGAAATATCCTTGTTGATGAAGCTAAACCTCATTGTGTTGTTAGTGATTTTGGTATATATAAACCACTAGAAAAATCCAATCAAATTTATGGAAAGTTTCCTTATATTGCACCTGAAGTATTACATGATAATTCGTATACAATAAAATCAGACATATATAGTTTAGGAATGATTATGTGGGAAATTTCTTCGGGTATACCACCTTTCTATGATCATATGAAAAAGCCAGACAATGAACTTGCTCTTGATATAATTAATGGAGTGAGACCTAAAGTTATTGATGGAACACCACCTGATTACGCAAATTTAATGGTTAAATGCTGGGATGCACATCCAAAAAACAGGCCTGATGCTAAAACGATTATGAAAAAAATGGAGAGCTTACTCAAAGAAATTTATGAAAATGATGGTGTTTATGAAGAACTAAAACTTATCCCAATTAAAATATCTAAAAAGAAGACGCTAATAAATCTGATTAAATCAAAACTTAAATGTAAAAAGAACAAAAGGTTGTCTTCAGAGATTAAGAACACGTTTTTAACAACTGAAAAGAATAAAAGCACATCTTTTGTAATGGTTGAAAAAGATAAAAGTCAATTTTCAACTACTGAACAGGATGAAAGTCTACTTTTGGTTACTGTACAATATAAAAGCCGTATTTATGAATTTCAGCATTCACAAGAGCCAAAAAATGCATCTTAAGGTAATTTAAAAAATTGATATATTATGCATATGGGCAGATTGTGCTCATTTTGTGATATTAAAATTGATCACATTAAAATAAGTGATGTAATAATATTAATTAATTCAGCTTATCTAAATTGATTTGCGTTAGATTAAAAAAACTAAATACCGATATATAATCACAATCAGATATCACAAAATGAGCACAATCCGCCTATATGGTTTAAAAATTATTATAAATCGCACCAGTGACGTTGATCACATAAAGTTAGGGTTAAAAATTAGGATAAAATTAGAAGCTGTAGACTAAATATTAGAGCTAAAAATAAAGATAGGGTAAGATTTTTAGGTTGCTAAACATTTTAATTTAATACATCCGGCCTTGATTACTTAGATAATGCTTGAGAGATTGCAGCTGTGTTGCTAACACCACTGGTGTAATTTAACTATCCTGAAAAATAATAGAGTATTAAATAAATAAATAATCTTTAAACAGATTTTGATAAACTAAAAATTAATTTATTATATATATTTTTATAATCTACTATTTATACTGCAATCAATATATATTTAAAATTTATTCTAATATCCAATTCAATATTTGTATTATATTTATTCATTATACTAATACCAGCATTGGGACTTTTGCATTTTCGGAGAAACACGGCTTTATCATAAGGGTTTTGACCAATCAGAAATTGCTTTTATTAACACATGATCAAAGCAGATTGTCGCTGAACTAAGCAGCCAATCAATGGACATTATTCATATATTATAATTTCTTTCGTTTTAACTACAAAGTAAAATAACTCATGTAAAAGAAAACAAACTATTCACCCACATTTTAATAGCAATTTTACGGATGTAAAAACTCCATTTTATAAGGTTTCTAGTAACCAGTTTTTCCTTAAAACCTCAAATTAATAAAAATATATTATTGTATATATTAAATAATTCTATGTGTTAAATATCTTTTAAGAAATACAACTTTAAAATTAATCTACAGAAGTTCGAAAAAAAAGTTAACAAGTTAAGGCGAGACCAACTGGATTCTGTGTTTTACATTACCCCCCTCTTCCCTCCGGGGGGGATTTGTGGTTTACATCGTAAAATTTTCAAATTTTTTTTTTCGAAAAAAAAATTTTCCAAAATGTTTCGTGACTATATAAAAATTTTCCGAAATAGTCCGGAGCCCAATATATATTTATCAAAATTTTTTTATTATGAGGGAGAGGGGGGGTAATGTAAAACACAGAATTCAGTTGGTTTCGCCTAATTTAAATAATAAGAAAAAAAACGGAAAAACAATGTCGAACATGGCGAATTAAGCAGCAAAGTATACTTTTATTGCCTCTTACTATAGAGTAGATAGTACTTCGACCTTTAACAGAACGATCTTTTCCAGCGTGATGCAGCGTGATGCAACTTGAATTTCTTGAAAAGACGTTCTCTACGAAGCTATTTTATTAGTTAATCATTGTGTGATTGGTTTTGTTTTTTTTAAGTTTTACTTATACAGTCGTCTCTCCATATGTCACCTCCCATATAATTACACCATATGTAATCGCATTTATGTTTAGGCCAAATTATGATTTAATTCATAAGAAAAAGACCTCCTTTGAGCACAACTCCTATATAGCACATTTTGAAAAAATTTATTATGTGCCCAACTGTGTGATTGTATGGGAGGACGATGATAGTACCCGAAATTTCTGGTTTTAAACTACTATCCTGTATAAATACTAGTATAACGTAGATCTCAGAAATAATCGGATACAAATGTCCTCCATGCCAACATATTATTTAAACTAATATTTCTTATTACAGTTAAATCTAACTATAGTTACACCTTTAGGATACAAAAAGCTGTGATTATAAAGAGGTGTAACTAATATAAAGCTATTTTCAGTATAGTTATAAACTAAAAATATCTCATAATTATACAATTCTACCAACTTATTCTCTATGGAAAAATCATCTAATTCTTCACAAAATACAAACTTTTATTAAAAATATATACAGTCTGACATTTCTAAATATATAGTGTTAGGACTATTGTAAAAAATTGAGAAAATATACATTTAAAAAAGGTTATTTATTTAGGATGATAAAAATTTATAAGTTTATATTAGTTCAGCCAAGAAAAGACATACATTTAGTGAGATTTTTTATATATATGCATTTAGGAAGGTTTAACTGTATATTATATAAGAACTTTATTCATAGTTTTTACTTAAGATATATATGAAATTAATTAGATTCTATGCTTTGATATTTTAAATTCATTTAAATTTAAACCCTCAAAATACTTTCTAAGAATTAAAATTCTAACCAACAATCTTCCTACTATGAAAAATCTTAATATCTAATACCTTTATTTATATATTACACCAAACTGTATTCATTGCTTTAATTTAAAAGATACTCTACATTTATTTTTTTGTCTTAATAATAATATTAATCTTTAATATTCTTTAGCAGATATAATTACTGATTCACTTTCTTATCTTAAAATAACAATTACACCTTTACTTACAATCTTAATATCTTTTTGTAATTTATACTTAATAATTCTAATCTAATTTATAACCTCTTTCTATACTATATTATTAGTATTTATTCTCTAATATTCTATGAAAAATTAAATCATACATAGTTAAGCAAACTAAACAATTCTTAACTATTTTATTTAACAACCTTCTAAATTGTTTCCATAATAGATTCTAATTTTATAAAAAATAAAACAACAATTCAAAATATATAAAAATTATAATTAATTAAGGGTAGGGTGTACAAATTTCCAATTTCATATAAAATAGATTGTAGATCAACATTGTGTAATGAATTTTATATGATATCATATGATTTACATGTAAACATCATATGATTTGACCAATCAGAATTAGCAAT